CAATTATCGGAACATTTTCACTGCATTTGAGTAGTAATGTTCAACAAAACATTTCTGAGGGCACTTTGTGCATCCTTTCTTAAGGAGATGTCGGCTGAAAAAACACTGAAGACTTCCATTCCATATATTCAAATTTCATTCAATATATTCAAAGTGTCATTCCATATATTCAGACTTTGTTCATTATATTCAAAGTTTCATTCAATATATTAATTTCCTAAACGGCTTGCCATATATACACACACATATATCCTAATTTCAGGGATACCCTCTGTAACTAGACAATGTTTTTGTATTTTTTATCTGCTGTTGTTGCTGTTCTAATTTTCTTCACATTCATAATAATGTTCAAAATAGTTCTAAGTTAAGTGTTTTTTATGTGATGAGTTCTTCTGAAAGCATTTTGTTTGTTTATTTACTTGTTTTGAGTTTTTTTTTATCATGTTTTTTTTTTTTACCTTAAAATGTTTTGTTTGTTTAATTAAACAACTATAAAAATGGCTTTGGATATTCATTGAGTTGAATTAAGTTATGAGGGTAGGTTAAATCACTTATTGAGTAACCTTTTGGGGTAGGTGTCATTGAAAAGTGTGAAATCCTCAAAGGAGTAGTTATTCTTTTCTAATCTAGCTTGAAGTCAATTAAAGTCATTGCAGCAATAATACAATATGTAAAACATTGTTAAAGTTTGTATACACTGTTGTGTAACAAAATCCCCAAACACATAAATACATCATAAATAGAACTACATGGGATGAAAACATTCATTTTCAGTTTAATTGCTGTATTAAAGGGTTTAGTTCTTGTTAAGACTTGGTCTTAATTATCTAAACAATAAAATAAGTCACTGAAAAAAACTGGTGAAATGGGCCACAGCAGGAGGAGATTGTGTCACAAAGGAACATTATTGGCCTGAAAGGTTTACCTTTATACCTGAAAGCAGCGTAGGAATCAGATAGAGAGGCTCCTGTCCAACATGCCAGGTCAATGGGATGGCACATGTAAAAGTCAGTTTACAGGTCCTGGGGAGTGTTGGGTTTGGAAAAATGTGTAATGAGCTCAGTGTGGCTGCAATGAGAACTCTGTGAAGTCTCATTCATGTAGTCCTCTCTCGTCTTTGGTAACAGTGGGACACTGAAATTAACAAAATGAGAGGAACTGTATAAACTGTGTAGCTATTCCAATCATCGTAGGTGCATGATGCAGGGATAAGTCTAGCACCGGGGCTTGCATATACAGATGAGCAGCACATGTGAAATGACAGGAAATCAAAGCATGTTGAATCTCTACCTTGTACGACCCAGAGTTGCTTTTGCCTATTGTTGCACAAAGAGGCTTTGAAAAAGTAGAATGTATTTTTTTAAATCATAGCAAGCCACTAATACCTTTAATGCCATCTTAAACACCTGTGTACATTAAGATCCTCTGGGAATTTGAATTGGCCTCCATGGTACACTTTTTATTGTCTATTGACTTCATGGTTATTAATATATCCCGTTGCACGTACAGAAGACTGCATGATGCACAAAATCTGTGCTGTCAAATAGGCTCCTGTACATTTATAAAGTGAATACAGTATGTCCACCGAGAGAAGTCAGGTGAGTGTTAATTTTTTATGGTTTTGAGGTAAGAAAGTTTGATTGCTGGAAATTATGAATTAGAGTGATGACAATTAATTAAGATCAATATAAGGCATAAACACCCAATCAATAGGATGATAATCCCTTTTTGGCAGCTGAAAATTTAATGTAGGTTAACCTTTTAGTGCCTGTCCATTATTACACAAACTATATATATATGTGGGGTAAAATAGGTCAATAAAGCATAAATGAAACGATAAGGTAATGTACTTTAAAGTTCAACTTTAAAAGTATTAACATGATTATTGTTCTTACGATAAACTTAAACCTCTTAAACTTAAAACTCCTTGCCAGAGGACATTACGCTGGCAAACTCACTAACAGTATTAAATCCTTGCTTAAAACTTAACTCTATAGGAAGACCTTTATGACTAGTGACTAAATGCAAGTATCTCATGCTGCTGTGATTGACTTAATTTGTTCTTACCTTAATTTTATGCATTAATTTATTCATTTGTATACATTTTATTGTACCAATAATTTCTGCTGTGCATTTTATGGAACCATTTTTATTCTGCCCATGTTTTAGATCTTGTTTTTTCTTTGCACTCTGTAAAGCACTTTGTAAAGCACTTGTTGTAACCTTGTTTATTATTATTATTATTATTATTATTATTATTATTATTATTAATAATAATAATAATAATAATAATAATAATAATAATAATAATAATAATAATAATAAAAACACAAATGTACAGGATGTAAAGGAGTTATGAGAGCGGATGGGGAATCAGACTGAATATGGCAGTTTAAAAAGATGTGTTTTGAGATGAGATTTGAAAATGGAGAATCGATATTACGGATTTGTGGTGGGAGGGAGTTCCAGAGGTAAGGGGCAGAGCGGCTAAAGACCCTGGACCCCATGGTAGACAGGCAGGCGGGTGGTGCAGTGAGTTGAATGGAAAAAGAAGACCTAAGAGTGCAGGTAGGTGTGTTGATGTGCAGGAGTTCAGAGAGGTAAAGTGGAGCAAGGTTGTGGATGGCCTTGAAGGAGAGGAGCAGAATTTTTAAGGTGATGCGATGTTTAACCGGGAGCCAATGAAGGTGTTGTAGGACAGGGGTGATGTGATTAACAGAGGGCGTTCTGGTGATGATGCGAGCGGCAGAGTTCTGGACCAGTTTGTGGATGGACTTGAGAGGGAGACCAAAGAGAAGGGATTTGCAGTAGTCAGTGCGGGATGTAACCAGGGTGTTGACGAGGATGGCAGTACTGCTGGGAGTGAAGGGCGGGCGATTAATGTTACGTAGATGGAAATAAGCAGACCGGGTGACATTATTGATGTGAGTTTGGAATGATAGTGTGCTGTCTAGAATGACACCCAGACTCTTAACCTGAGGGGAAACAGAAACTGAGGAGGGGTCAATAGCCAGAGAAATACTGTTGAGTTTAAAGATTGTTGATTTGGTGCCGATGAGGAGAAGCTCGGTTTTGTCACTGTTTAATTTGAGGAAGTTGCAGTTGAACCAGGATTTGATTTCTTGCAGGCAATCAGTCAGGGAAGTGGGCGGGAGGGAGGAGGTGGGTTTGGTGGATAGGTAGAGCTGGGTGTCATCCGCATAGCAATGGAACTGGATGTTATACTTCCGGAAGATATGGCCAAGAGGAAGGAGATAAATGATGAACAGAAGGGGGCCCAGGACAAAACCCTGAGGAACACCGGTAGTGACTGGAGATGGCTGGGATTTGATGGTTCCGAGTTGAGTGAAATGAGTGCGACCAGAGAGATAGGATGAAAACCAGTGAAAGTGTGTGTCAGTGATTCCATTGGAGGCAAGTCTGTCAAGGAGTGTGTGATGGGAGATGGTGTCGAAGGCTGCACTTAGATCAAGGAGGATGAGGATGGTTAGAAGTCCGGAGTCAGCTGCCATGAGTAGGTCATTAGTGATTTTTACCAGTGCTGTCTGTGTGCTATGGAGGGGGTGGAAACCAGACTGGTTATAGAGGTATAGAGGTTATTGTCAGACAAATGAGTGTGAACCTGAGATGCAACTGTTTTGAGTTGAATTTTGGAGAGGAAGGGTAGATTAGAGATAGAACGAAAGTTATTGAAGTCATTGGGGTCTGCACCAGGTTTCTTAAGTATAGGAGTTATTGAAGCTGACTTGAAAGAAATGGGAACAAGACCAGAGGTGAGGGAGGAATGTATGATGACATTATTAGGGAAGACAGAGGGGGTAGGCAAGCTTTTACAGTAGGAAGAGGGTCTAATTGACAGGTAGATGGTTTTGATTTCTGAATGAGGTCAGATATTTCAGCAACAGAAGGAAGTTTGAAATTTGAAAGTGAGTGAGAGAGAGGAGGTAAGAAGACTGGGAGAGAGGGGTAAGAAGACTGGGAGAGATGAGATGTTAGGAGTCAGTTGATATCCTATATTAATCCCTGAGGGAAATTTGGGTTTACACTCTGTTATTTACATGCTTCTCACACACATAGGCCTGAATCACATGCATGTACAAACAGAACCTGTGGACATGCAATGGTGGAGAGATGTTAGAGTGGGGCTGCTACAAGCTGCTAAGCAGAGTGTGCACCAGAGCAGTTGGGGTTCTGTGCAGAGGTGCCCTGGCACCTTTCCAGCTACCAAACCAACTTTGGTCTGCACTGAGACTTGAACTGGTGACCCTCCGATTCCCAATCCAAGTCCCTATGGACTGAGCTACTGCCACCCCAAGCTACTGCAGCCATTGCTGGTGAATCTTGTCTACTTTGGCAGTGAAAAATGACATTAAAGAGTTACAATAGGCTAAGTCCTATATAAATGAAGTTATTATTATATAATCATTATTATTATCAATCAATCTATCTATCTATTCATTCTGTTCCCCGTTTCTCGTTTTTGATTTAAAACCAAAATTGAGAAAACAAAAAAATGTTCTTTGGCTTAAAATAAGTTAAATCCTGTCTGACAACATTTAATACTTTCATACCTTGACCCATAAACTGACCTTTCAGCAGCAGCTTAATAGAACTGTGCAGGACAGAAACGAAACTTAAAACCATTTGATTCAGACAGTGAAACTGTTTTTTTTTTTTTTTTTAATCAGTTTTTCGTTTTGAAACAAAAGACGGAAGTAGGCCTTCGGTTATTTTGTATTGGATCAAATTAATTACAGATTGTCCAACGATATTATTTTGTATGAATTTAAGTTGGTTTAAGTTATTCATGTTCCCAGTGAAATGGCTGGCCCAAGTGAAAGCATAATAGATTTTCAAGTTTTTAATTCTATACTGTATGCAACATGTTTGTCTCAGCAATAAGTCAAAACTTTATTTTGATGGATATTGGCACTATTCATTATTTTCAGTCCTAGTTCCCTTTTCTGTGAAAATTAAAGATATTAAATTGACAAGAAAAATATTACAATATTCATAGTTTATTATTCATTTGTTTACATACGTTTTCACATCATTATATTTAATAAAATTTAAAGATGCATACCAAAGAAATCACAACAGTATTATTCAGATGTTACATGTAGTCTTCTGTTGTATTTTGCTTCTTCTTATAATATATTGTGAGGTGGAAGATTAAAGTGCCTTCCCCTATCACACAAGGTTCAAAAGGAAGCTTCTTGCCAGCAAATCAATATTTAAGACAACCAATACATTCATTGATAAGATAAAGGTGTTTTTGCACCGCATTCAAAGGTATTGAAATGTTTAGGATTAAGGGTCACTATAGAAACCATAATCAGAATACATTCAAGCAATGTGTGTATTAATAGTCCTCCAAATAATATATTCAAGTTTCAACATTTTTTTTAATTGAGGTTTTCTTAAATATTCCTTCTTAAAATATATTGGCAGTGAGTTTGTGTATGGCCAACAGAAGTGGCTTTGAAAAACAACCCTGTGTAAAGAGTGGTTTGACCAAGTTGTTTACCAAGTCAAATACCTCCAACAGTGCAAAGTGCACATCTTTATTTTCAAGAGTCATTCTACAAGGCAAATTAAATATGTTCAATTCTTATTCCAAACCAAGAACAACACAGTCCCAGGCCAAACAATACAACAACAAAAATAGCAACATCAATAGACAAAAAACGACCCTTTTGTGAAAAAATGTGGAACCATTCCTTGAGATTCCCAAACACTACAATACCACGGATCAATTAGCTTGTGGTTTGTTAGTGCTTCTTTCTTTGGCTATTAGCCCCACTGAGAGACCTTGCAAGAGACTCTAGTAGGTACTTTGATTCAGTAAAAACTGCAATTATTTCTGAAGAAATACCAAACACCTTTGTAGAAAAGCTGGTTTATCTATCAAGTCACCATAGTAACCACAGCCCAACTATCAACCAACCAGACCTTCTAGCTTCCGGGCTTCCCTGCCATCTCATTACATAATGAGGACTTGGCAAACAAGACAATTTTCCTTTTGTTTTTTGTTTCCTTTCTTATTTTAAGGTTTCTCCCTTTATTTTCTTGCCAAGGAAACATAACCACTCGGACAATAACTCATTGTTATTGTCCTTTACCTCCTTGATCCTAAACTTCAGGACCATAGAAGACCCATTGAAGACATTTCTTCTCATCTCTACTCCTCACAAACATCTGACTACCAAGAGGAGAAAAATGGACGTTTGCAGTGGAAGGTTTGAGTGAAGGCATTGCCAAGAGTGACCACCCGACCATGACCGCCTGAGCGGCTACGCTCGACCACCACCCGGGGCATCTGGACCAGCTGGATGGGGCTCTTCCTGTCCTTCAGTGCCTGGGTCAGGTTCAAAACCTAAAGACAGAGTTCATAATGTTTACAGTTCAAAACCAAAGCATTTTAAAGTACAAATGAGATAGAATTGGTCATTTTTAACCCTTTAATTTGTTGTATTTGAGAATGTTGTTCAGGTTAACCAACCGAGGACTGATGCAACATTTATTATGAAAGTATTATCTTATTTGTATAAAATAATAATAAACAATAAAAAAAAAAGTTGGGACTGTGCAATAGGAGAAGGTCATGTAGCCAAAAAAAGCACAATAGCAATTGACATACATAAAACTGTCACAAGCACAACTAGTCCAAAATGCTGCAGCTTGTGTACTGACTAGAACTAGGAAAAGGGACCACATTACTCCTGTGTTAGATTCTCTGCACTGGCTCCCTATAGAATCTAGACTATAATTTAAAATCCTTCTTCTCTTTTACAAAGCTCTAAATGGTCAGGCACCATCTTATCTTCAAGAGCTAATGGTGCCGTATTACCCTTCGAGAACATTACGCTCTCAGAATGCAGGCCTGCTTGTGGTACCTGCAGTCTCTAAGTGTACTCTGGAATCATCTTCCAGCCGGGGTCCAGGAGGCAGACACACTCTGTACTTGTAAGAATAGATTTAAAACTTTCCTTTATGATGCCTACTTATGCTGCTATAGGCTTAGACTACTGGGGGAACTGGCACCTTGAGCTCATATCTCTCCCTCTCTGTCCCTCTTACTCTCTCTCTCTGTGAGATCATATTACTGCATGTCACTATCTGTAAATCTCAGTTACGAAACCAATTTTTTTCCTGGGAGCTCCTCAGCTCTCTTAGGCTCCTCGGGATCGTTGGTGGACGGCCTGCCTCAAATTATCAAGTTGACCTAATGTTTTTCAATTGTTTAAGTGTATTACACAAAGTAAAGAATCCTATCTGGAACATTAGAAAAAGGGAGGCTACACTTACAGCACATATGGCATTTGGTTGTGTGAATCAGAGGCAGTACAAGTGGATGCATTTCCAATTCAGCTAATTAGATTCATAAGGTCGGTGGAGCAAATTTAACATACATCATGTTATTTTTTTCTGTTTAGGGGTAGTTGTTCCTCAAATTGTAATGCCAATAATGCCGTTACATTAAACTGAAAACAATTATTATACAAGGTGGAAAAAAATTAGAAAAAAGGGGCATCAGTGAAGAAAAAGAAAAGCAGAGAGCATGACAGGAATTACAGTCAAAAATATTAGATGAATGGATCAAACTCACCTGTCCTCTCATTACAGACATCTGTCTCTCAAACATTGTTTTGTCAAAACCTTTATCTTCCTAAAGAGAAAACAAAATAAAGTCAACTAAAATTGTGTTACTTTGCTACCACACAGCCATTAGATTATGTCACTAACCAAGAGTTTCATTTTAGAAGATGATAAACTTTATATTCCTGTGAGGGGGAATTCAATTATAATCTGTCTAATCAGCGAGAATGTGGGATTAGAGAAAGTTATGTGGTGGTCTTACCTTGAACATTTCATAGAGATCCTCACAGAGGTCCTGAACAAAGTTCATGTCAGAGAGACGTGACAGCACCAGGTCTCTGGTCTCCTGGGAGAAAGCCACCTTAGCCTGGGGAAGCCAGGCCCAGTGGAACGGGTCTAATAGAAGGTGGAAAAGCAACAATGGGATTTGTGTCAAGCTCTCAAATGTCATTCAACAACCTTTACCCTCCACTACAAACACAGTTTCTCTCTTAAACAATTGTTTCTCTCAGTACTACATTTGAGTAGACACCTTATATTAATATATTGGAACTTTACCTATTTTTTAACTATGCTGTTATATTTTGTAAATTCTTTAAATTTGGCCAGGAAACTCTCAGAAAAGGATTCTAGAGAGAGGACTGTGTATATATATAACAATAATACCTTCACTAATAATACTTCTAATGATAATCATACAACAAATATACTAAAAATACTACTATAACAAAATAATGATTATTAGTAGTATTTATACATACATGAATAATAACAATATTGGTATATTATATGATTGACAGAAAATCAAGAGTACATCAACATGATGGACTTTATTGCTTATTATTTTCTTTCTTAGAGCTTAGATAAAAATAATGATCCAATTCCATGTCTGTAGCATGAATATGAAGCTACAGACAGCAGTGTTTTTGCTTTGTATAAAGTACCGTAATTCAGAAGTACAATCAACTAAACATTTGGTGTAGTTTGGGGTTTTAGAGGGTTCAAACTCAAAACAATTTAATCCTTGGCTGTTGGCTGGCTCAAACTTGGTTGGTGTGTGAGAGACCCCCAAATTTCCCCTGGTTGGCGACAGTCTAGGCCTTGAACTATCTACATGTCAGTATCCTGTCACAGTTTAAGCCCCACCCACTCTACAAAGGAAATAAAAGTTTTGGATGTTTTCCTGTGGATTTTGTCAAAAAGGTCTTTAGACTTTTATTGTAAAAATCATTGCATTGTTCATGCGAAGATGGTTGTTGACATGGATGTTGTATATCATGAGCTGCTTAATAACACACATGACCATGTCATCATGTTTTTGTGAAACTAAAGACAATTTACCACATTGTCGACCAATATAGTTCTATTCCATTATATTCTGGTTCTGTCTAAGGGAAAGATAATTGCTTTACAAGCACCTCTGAAGCTCACTCATGAATATGTTATATCTTGTTGGTTTCATCTTACAAAAAACTAAATGTTATTGTTATAAAAATTAGAAAAAGGTTTAAAAGGCCAAGTTTGCTGTTTTCTCCTATTTCCATTCTTGATGCTGAACTATGCTTATTGTTTGCTAGCTCTAGCTGTTGTTCCAGCACTTACATTAGAGCAATATTAATATTCTTATCTAAATACCTGCAAAAAAAAGATTACATAAAATGTCTATATTTCTGAAATAAAATAAAATGTTCATCGTTGAAAAGATATTACATATAAAGCTTTAACACTTTGGTAAGCCTTATATAAGACATAGATTTTCACCATTAGTGATACATCTGCAAATTCCTCGAGCTTCTTTTAAGACAGAAAGACAAACAGAGAAAAAAGATAGAACAAAAGGAAGCACCAAGGTAGACAAAGAACAGTCTGTTTTGGGCAGTGCTCAACAGGAGTACCATATCCTAGCCCTAACCCTCCAATTATTATGCATTGGGTTAATGCACATCTAGTGTCGACTATACTGTGTAAATTCAATATTTTTGTTTTGTGTTTTCCAGTTACACATCATGATTTTCGCCGCAACCAAGGACACTAACTTTATTGAAATTGATGTCTTTACTTTACAGCATAAAGAACTTCTTAAGGCTTTTCTGACAACAACTTAGGTGGAAATGTCAACCGAATAAGAAAAGTACTTTAAAGTGTTCCTTTGAAAAGTTCAAAATGGCGCTATGGAGCTATTTTTCCCAGACTCAGAAAGTGTGCAAAGTTTTATGGGAGTTTTGGAATTTTGCAGAGTCCTTGAATTTTTTGTGCTGTTTTCTGATGAGTTGCTATGGCCATTTGACATTTATTGAACAAATAACAAGTGATCAGTACAGGATGAAAGTCAGTTAAAAAAACTAAACATTTTAACCAAATTTGACAAGAACAACGTGTCACAGCTTGTATAAAAGACCAAGCAAAATTGAAATGGTGTAATGGAGAAAATGTGACCAACATACAGGCTCTCCATTCATCCGGGTGTTTAAAGGGAAAGGCCAGGCCATTGTCAATTGCTGCAATCTTGATACAAGATTCTGAACTTATCTCTGGCCAATCTGTATCCTATAGAAAAGGAAAAGGGGTCAGAAAGGTTTTCACCAAGTATGTGTTTGGTAAAAGCAGTGTATTACATTGTAAATGCATTATGTAGCATTGCCCAAGTTTAATGAGGGTGAATATTTGTTCTGTCACAAGTCTGAAAGCACCTTGAGTATAAATTGATTAAAGATCACCTTTTCATCTTGTCCCCTTTCTCCTGGCTTCACATACTTGATCAACCAGTTATCATTTCCTCGATCTGAGGAGAAAATAGAGAAATGAAAATAAGATTTTATCAAAACATAATAAAAATACAAGAATACAAGACACAGTCTGTTTATTGGGAGTCTCTTTGAGAGAAATAAGGTTTAAACTGTCTTCCTGCGTGATGATTTCCACTGCACTCAGCAAAGTCTACAAAGTGCAACTCTGTAGGTCTTTTAGTACCATCTGCGTTTACTTTGTGGAGTTTGCACTCCTACTAGCTACAGTACTGTAGTTGAGCTCTCAGTCTACAGACGCAGGTTGCACTGCCTACCTCCACCCTAGCCCACCTCCGCTGGTCACTCCTTGATTTTATTGAGGAGTCTGTTACGTTGTATGTTATTTTGTCCCCCTCTGCTGGTCATGATGTGTATATGTTTACCTGTTAATCTCATTTTGTGTGTGGTTGGGGTGATAATTGAAGTCAACATAAGGAGGCAGAAACTGGCCTGTTCACTCTCTCTCCTTGGCTCCAGACTGTCACATCTTATGTCTGTTCTTGGTTGATGGATCTGGTAGTGTTTGTTTCTTCGTGGCTTTTGTTTTATGTGGTTTAGGGATTAAGTGGTGTTGTATGTAGTTTATGGTAGAGGGTAAATACCCGGTCCAACGGCCCTTTGTGGGCTGGTTTGGGTGACAGACCCTTCAATTCTTTTGTTCTGTTAACCGGATCATCAGTTTATTTCTGATGTTCCCTTTGTTAAAATAAGGAGTTAATCATGTTTGTTAAACAAATTTGATTGTCAGAATAAACCCTTTTTCATAATTTGATTTAATCTGAATTGTTGTTTTGTGTTCGACTCCTTGAAAACGAGGCTTTCATTGAGGGGTCGTAACAGAGTCTTACAATCACTCCAGCACTCGACAGAGTTAATGTGCTGATAAATATGCTAATAAGGGAAAAAATATGTTAAAAGGAGCGCTGCCAGCCTGGTCTAAATCACTATGTATCCCCACAGCTTGAGAGCAACAATGAATGGAAGTGAATTTTTAAACATTTCATGTTGCGTGCAATGTGCAATGGTGGTGGCTGCACTCTCGGTAATGATGGCGCGTATGTCTGCATGTTTCATATTATATGTATATTGGTCGTGTATAGGATGCATCCAACTTTTTAGATGAAAAATTAGCTATTACAAGTGCACACTATACATCGGATTTTATATACCGTAAACAGCTGTCAAATGTATTTGCAACAGTGAGGAGTGCAGATTTAACTGTGTGACTGGCTACAGTAACTGTAAGGGCAACTGTTGAAAGTAAATTAGTCAGTCAATACATATATTGTCTATTAGGGAGGAACAGGAACTATTTTAAGTTTGTATGAAGGATCGTAATTCAATAATGTTTTAGTTAAGTTATACTTATAATTGTTTAAATTTGACAAACCCTCACCTGTGTTTCTGATAACATAGTCCAACACTACCAATCGCTCAAACTGTGACTGGAGCTGCTTCCTGATATTTTCTGGCAGAGGTTCTGCCTCAAAGCGCCGCAGCCAATAGTCCGCTTCACGGTAGCCCTCCACAAACAGCTGAAATGAGCCAACCTAAAAGAATGATTTCAAAAATATATATTTTTTTACACAACATAAAATGGGATATCACTTGCACTTCAAATATCAATGCTGTACTTTAAATTGTTTTACCCCAGCCCCATATGAGAAAATAATGATGGATCAAAATAATCCCAGGCCTCATGTTGGTCATCATGAAGTGCTTTGAGAGGCTGGTTTTTACACCACATCAAAGCCAGCCTTCCTCAGACCTTTGACCCTCACCAGTTTGCTTATAAAGCAAACAGATCCACAGAGGACTCTACAGCCATAGCTCTTCACACTGTACTGAGCCATCTGGAACACCAGGGGAGCTATGTAAGGTTACTTTTCATCGACTACAGCTCAGCCTACAAAACAATCATCCTGGGAATTCTGGATCAAAAACTATCTGACTTATAGCCTCCACACTCATGGATTATAGACTTTCTCGCAAACCATCCCCAGACTTGTTTTACTTGTCCCCAACCTCTCCTCCAGCCGCACACTAAGCACTGGCTCTCCACGGGGTGGAGAGCCCTCTACACATAAATGTAGTCCAGCCCACCCCAGTTACACCACTGTCAAATTTGCGGACAACACAGCTGTGGTTGGACTATTTTAAGGAGGTGGGCGAGTTTGCCTACATGGATGAGATCCTGAAGTTAACTGCATGGTGTTCAGTGAACAACCTGGCACTGAACATCCCAAATACCAAGGAAATAATATTTGATTTGAATCATCCCTCCTCTTCAATTCTCCTACTTCTCCTTTTTTTTTTTTACTGTACTATTTATACAGTTCCACCAGAGAATGCATATATTTTTCTACTGCAGAAAGCATGTCTTACCTTTGCTATATTTATATTTTTAACTTGTGACAAGCTACTTTTTACTGTAAATATTTTTACGTATAATTGTCCATCTTTTCCTACTTCAATGCGAGTTGTTTGTTGTTAAGGTGAAGCATTTCTAATTTCCTTGTACAATTGTATAATAACAATAAAGGCTTACTATTGTATTTCGAACCCCAAAGCACTATTTTAATCATTAAAACAGGCTTTTCTTCATATTGTGCACATACAAAACAGAAAGAGTAAGTTAAATTAGACATGGAGAGTTAACACCCTCTGTTACCTTGGGTGGCAAGCCCACTCGATGGAAGCGTCTTCCCACCTTGGGGACAATCTCCAAGGCGTACTTCTTTCCCCTGGATTTTGCTCTGTCAATGGCGCTGTAGTGGAATGTCTCACTTGCCAGATATACAACCTGATAAAAAAGGGATGTGTTGTTTGTACCATATTGCTATTTTATGCATATTACAGTGCAAAAAATGTAAAACTCTACATCCAAGTTAAAGGGCCTGAGAAGTTCTACTTTGAAACAGGAAAACTTGATGCATATTACAGAGGTGTAATTTATGCTTTGTCCAACCTTCTTATTTGGGCCCTACCTTTGTCTTTGGTACCACTCCAAGACCAAGCTTGGTATCAACCAGTGATGCAGCAGCCTCTGAAAGGTAACCCTGGTTAGGCAACAAGCAGCCTCGGCCAAAACAACAGGGACAGCACAGCTTATACGAAAGGGAGACAAAGAGGGCACAATCAAAATACAACTTTTTTTTTTTTTTTTTTTGGCTGAAGTGCTGTGACTTGTATGTTTGAAATCCTCCAGATTTTCACAAAAAAGATCAAATATTTTAAATATTATACCTTGTGAAAATATTTGGTCCATTTGGGGTTAAGGTGACCATAAGGTTCCTCTGACTTTGGTTTGAAAACACCAATGATTTTCTAAAGAAAGAAAAGAAGGAAATTAACAAAATCTTCTATCACAAAAGGTTTTCATATCTATATTGGGAAAACACATCACACAAAGGGACATAACTATAATACAAGCAGCCTTTACTGATTTTATAGGACCTTTACAAATAAATATTAAAGCACCACAGACAAATCCCTTGGACTTGTTCGCTCCTTTCTGTTCCATTACTCTGTACAAAAAGATAGACAAACCATATAGTAGACTTAAAGTAACTGATGTAAAAACAAATCATGTTTAATAGCCAGCAATAATTTCTTAACTAGAAGAATAAATTGCAATGGAGAAAGTTAATATACTGCAGTGCTCTCTGAAATCTTTCTACTACTATTAATTAAGAAGGTACAAGAGATTAAAAACAAATGTAGCCAATGTTTAAAAACCACTCAGTCCAAAGTCTTTCATCTCGAACGATTCTTCTTTGTCTTTAGCCCTTTTCATACTGTGTTTCTCCAAAAGTGCCTAAACTAAGCTCAGCTGTCATTACATTGTACATTCATATTGATTCCACCGTGGCTGCCTGTTACTACCTCCAAAGACAGTACAGAGGATGGATCACTTCGTCCCGTAATTATGCCTCTGCGACATTCATTTTGAAGGGGAAATGTCACGGGTGCATAAATATCGAGCTGTGAAACGGCAGTCTGAATAGGGCTTGTGTCACTTCTCAACTCCCTCCTTACCCCTTTAAGGTCTTTGACAAAGTAGCTCCCACTTGAACCCTGGGAAATCCTCTCTGGAAATACACCATTCTCAATAGCTTGTTCGGCCACTTGGATAATATCTGCAAACTCTGGATCATCAGGGAAATGGTTGAAGTCCCCACTGTTGGTACCTAGTACAGGAAAAATTTAGTAGAGTTTAATATTGTGATTTACTTTGTAGGAACACAGATTGTGCTACTGTTAAATAGAAAGGGCTTTTATAAAAGCTTCACCCTCATGAAACTTTCAAAATACAGTGTAAACCAGTTGTTCCAAACCTTTTTTTTCCTAGGAGCACCCCAATTGTAAGAAAAACTAAGCCCCAACCCCCAGGTAAAAAAACGTAAAAATGTTAACATACATTTTTACTGTTTTCATTAATGAAAATAATATTTTCTGTTATAAATTTAACATTTAAATATCCAAAGAGACTTTTTATTTAAACTCTCCAGTACTTTAGTTGTCATGATTTTAGAAAATATGCTCATAACCTCAGAGCAGACAAAGCCTGCCTTAAAGGGGCCTGGACACCAGATTGGGGAACCAATGTTTTTGAAACAAACGTCATTCAGTTAAATCTTAGTCATTCAGTTTGAGAACCTGAAAGCATCATCAGGCTATTTCAACATCCTCTGTCGTACTGTATTGTATTATAAAACATGTGGACTAGACAGTTGGAGAGCACTAATGCACTTGTAAGAATACAAATCCGTACAGAAGACTTTTTAAGCGCGAGTACGGATTTCCAAACGGTGTTTTATTCTTTTCTTAACTAAATCTTCGGGGACTTCGTGCAACACAACAAAACTCCTATTTTAAAAACTTTCCCTCGCGACTCCAATATCAGAACAGGCGAGCATTGTGTGGAGACTTGTTATCGAGTCACTTCAGCAGCTGCAGAAACATATTAAAACCAGGGCATAAGATGCTTCAGGTCTGACCTGACAGCAAATAAAACATGTATTTTAAAAAAGTTTGAATACAGGAAACCAAAGATGTACCAGGGCCTCATCTATGCGTGGAAAACACTGATGTGAGTGCAGTTTATTCTTAACGCAGAGGGAAATAAGAGCAATTGAATCAACATCACTTAGAAATAAGTTCACATGTAAGCGTGTGAATCGAGATCAAGATTTTTATGCAGCCTTAGTAGCCGTGTCCTTGAACTAGTTGCGTCATATCCTACAGCTTTGCTTCATGCCTTTTGACGTTGGCAGAACCTGACTTCAGGTTCTGGCCAGGCTCAGAGCAGTAGGAAAGCACAGTCAGTGATTACGCTAACAACTCCGTATCTTGTGTTTAAAAGACATCCAACATCCTAACATTATGAGGTGTATTTAAATATTTATCAGCATAATAGATTTTCTTCTAATGGTTGTTCAGCCGCTCTGGGCGCTACTACTGATACATATCAGCAAGTTCAGGTCAGCAAGGTGCTGATGTCCCTGCTCCAGGCATCCAGTGGACTGGTAGCACAGGTAACAGAGGAAACAGATGCAGTCAGCTGAGGATCACAGAGAGTGGATTTGTAGGGAACAGATGGTCTGAGTGTTTGATAGTAAAAAGAATCAAACACTGACTGACTGACTTGCAATGTATTATTTTTTATAAATATTATCCTACTCATCACACGACTCTCTGTGGAATGATTTCACTTAATTTTAGCTTAAAAAGGGAAAATAAGATGGGAATAACAGATAGGCTAGTATTGAATTGCAATAGCCTACTTATTGTATCAACACTTTATAATCTCAATATTAATCAAATCTGAACCCAACAATCGTGATAAAGTAGAATCGCCACAAAGGCATATCTAGCTCTAATACAATGAAAAATTAAAAGAAACAATTGTTAACTTCTTAAGTCTGCTTACATTCAAACATGCAGATGTTGTAAGGAGGCTACTCTACGGTTTCCGTATTTTAAGTTTTTAAGTCGCCTAAGACCCAGGACTCCAGTTTACACCCATGAAGAGGCGGGCCTGTGACTTCTGGACAAGAAGCCTACCTGGAGGGTTTGTTTGCTCTCCTCGGTTGGAAGATTTCAGCAACCTTCAGACAGACAACACGACATTCAACTTATCTAACCAGCGTCCATTAATCAATTGAAATGTTGCACCAAACCATCGGACAGAAACAAGAAAATGGACAAAAGAACAACCACTGCCCCTTCTTTTTTTTTTTAAATCACTGTATTTTGCCAACTTCCTAACTATTGATAGCTTAATCTGAAACACTGAGCCTACCTGGGGAGGCCAAGGTGTCTTTATCCGATGACGAGCTGTGTCGGTTTCGCTTGCTGCGCTTCTCTTGGGCACACCGAGGAGACGTCGTGTTCCCGGTTAAACCCGGTAGTAACAGCGCCTCTTCCCCGGAACCGTCGTTCTCAAGCTCGGTCAAGACACTTTCACAAGACTCCGAAATACGAACAGCCACTCCAGGGTTAACTGAGAGTCCTAAACCTATCCCAGTACCATCGAATAAAACCTGTGCCGGTCCCGAGAAGTGAAAGTTACATTCAGAACCAGGAACCGCTGTCGCTTCAGAGTCCAGCACCGGCTCGCTGGTCTCTGTCGGGTCGCATTCAGACATCATCGTCGCTCAGTTCTAAGTAGGCCTACGTTACGTTAAGTGTCCCATAAAAACTAAATATTCCCACGAATAGGCTACCTATAGGACCATCAAAGCAGCTGTTTTCTTGCACCGGTGGGGAGGAGGCGGATCGACAACAAATACGTCGAGTTCATCTCGTTCTTGTTTTACGGTGGTTTGCATCCATCACGTTGGTACATTACCGCCACCTTCTGTAGCGGAGTTTTGGCTTCTTACTCTGCGGATGTGTGCAGGGTGTGGATACCTCTCAGTTCCCTTAGTTGCATCCCATACATCACTCACTTGGAGGGAGAGCGAGGAAATATGTTTTAAGAGACATGAGACGTCCTTTCCTCTACAGCTTTGTGATGATGACATCAGCTGACCACTGCTCAGCTGGCACAAATACCCACTTTATTATTTCTAATAAAATACACACAGTAACATTGTGTAGTCTGTGTACTTTACCTGATGACAAACACCTGCAGTCTGCTAATAAAAAAACATACAGGCCATTTCTACACACAAACAGTTTTTATATTAAGTTACTTATTCATCATTATTATTATTATTATTTTTACTGATAATCTGATAGTGAACTCTGTATTTTATAAACACTAAGGATGTCTCAAGATTATTGACAATTTCTTATAGGATCAAAATTTCAGCAAAACAGGATGCGTAACATTTTCAAACCCTAAGATCACTAATGATCATTCTGACTGACAGATGACTCCCACTCTGTCAGACTGTCATTCTTATCATGATCAAATTAAAAAGTGCAAACAGTCTGAGTGATAAGAAATTTTAGCCGCTATAATAATGAAGGAGTTGTTTATGATCTTTTGGTTTTAACACTTCAAAATAACTGACTTTTTGTTTGATGGTGAATCAGAAAACAAATCAAATATAAAAGGCCTTGGCTGATCAGCCTACACTCTTAGGCTATATATATTTTTTGGAGCTTACACTTAATATTTCGTTGTGTATCCTCATGTCACACACGTGGTCAGGAATAACTGTTCATTGCCCTTCAGCACTGCGCTAATCCTCTCGTGTGGAAGTACAGAAACGATCTCTTTGTACCACACAGTAACAGTGGGAGGTTTGGCTTTGATCCACCTCAACACTACAGAATTTCTTGACAAAAGTAATAGTTTATCCAGGAATTTAAATTTAAGAGAGGGGAGTGACACATACTTAGATGGCAGGCTAAGTTAGACAAGCCCAGGATCTTTGGTTACTTTGGTTTTGAAAATGCCAATAAGCTCTTTTGCTATACAGGACCAAAACCTTGATATGTATTTACACTGCCAAAAAAGATGAATATAGTCCCCTCTCTCTCTGAGACATTTCAGACACTGTGGTGACAGGCCTGGATCCATCTTATTCCTGATGGAAGGTGTCATGTGTAATCTATGAATACTTTTAGATTGAGTTTCCCTCAGTCTTCTGCAAGAAAACACAATTTTGATTCAATTATTGGGCAAGTGTCATGTGGCAGGTAGTAAAAGTAGGAAATAAAATGGGAGGAGTTTTTGCAGTTCTTAGGAAAGGATTCTGGGGCACTTCATTTAGGAGTATTGAGGGAGGGGAGACTCTGCTCCCTAATAAAGTGACGAATCTGCAAGTATACCCCCCCAAAAAATGCTATACAATGTTACTGTGTGTATTTTCAGACAGCTGAGCGATGATCAGCTTATGTACTCATCACAAACGAACGTCGCTTCACGTGAAGCTATAGAGGAAAGGACGTCTATTGTCTCTTAAAACATATGTCCTCGTTCCTCTCTCCTCTGCTTCGTTTCCTCGCGTCTCTCCATGCATCTCTGGTGGGAGGGACTAAGACGCAAGTAAGGGAAGCAAGTGGAGGAATCAGGATGCAATTTAAGAGACATGAGAAGTACTCATAAAATGCACAATCAAATATACCCAGGATGATAGACTCATCATTGAAAAAGCACAATACATAATCATTCCGAGTTTATTTGATTGTGTCTTTTCTATGATAGGCCTTTCACTCCAGGTATATTTGATTATGTGTATTGTGCCTTACCAATGTGTGCCATTCTCTGGTGTCAGCATTTTTCTCTCAGTAGATGGTTCTTTACTCTATTTCGGTGTATTTTTCCATATTCTGTGGGTTTGATGTTTACATAACATTTATCTCTAAGCTTGTGTGGCACATTGCTGTGCTATTTTTTTCAGATTTCTTCATCTGTCACTATCACTTTTTCTATATTATAGAGCCGCCTCTATTATGACGGTTTCTCTTGTTGTTTACAGTCATGCAATTCAAGTTTTTATGGTAATCGTCCAGTCTTTGCAGGCAATTTTTCCTGCTGGAGTTGGGTATTAATGTGTTTTTGTGTATTTGTAGTATCTATGCAGAGGTCCTGTATACCTTCAATATGAATGTCTTGCATAACCTATATTGTTCCTAGTTTTGTATCACATGATCTGTCAGGTGATTTCAGGAGTTGTATATATGAGGAGGTGTGTCATTTGTTCATGTCAGATAAATAAAAGAAACATTGCTTACTTCAAAAGAAAGCTAATCAACTCAGTTCAATATTTGCTCGACATATGATACAATTCTGTGAAGATAACAATTTGATATTGTCCAGCCAATTGCTTTTACCTGCAAGTACTGTAGCTTACATAAGTGAAGCTTGGCACACAACTTCTTGGCTTGACCATTGCATCACCACTGCAGAAGCCATGCCTTTCTGCAGTCAATGAGCATGCTGTATGAGACATAGCTGATAATATACCATTGGTTATGATTCTTAGTCTCCCTGCGCTGACCACCAAGGTTAAAGGGGCCTGCAGGGCTAAATTGCATTGGCCCAGACTCACAAATGAGTATTGTCATATTATGGGGAAAATGATGTTTTCTTGAGTGATCTATATTTACCCAAAGATGCTATCATGTGTTCAAGTGTAAATTGTAATGATATTTCTCATGGGAAATCCTTCTGTTCCTTGTATGATGGAATTATAGGAGCTATGTATGAGGCCAGTAGATCATACTGCTCTAAGAAGGTATACAACATAAAACCAGGCTGAAATAAACATGTGGCTACATCATGCAGCAGCAAAGGAGGCTTTCAAGGCTTGGGATCAGGCAAGTTGACCAAGGCAGGGACCTGCCCCAGATGACAAAAAGCTCACTAATGCTAGATTTAAATATGCTGTCAGATTTGTGTGTAAAAAAAGAGCATGTAATGAGAGCAGACTCGTTGGCTGAAAAACTGCTCTGTAACAATGTCATGGATTCTTGGAAATTTGTAAGAGCTCTAAAAAAGGGAGCAGCTGTGCTACCCGGCACAAAATAGGGAGTCTCTGGACCAGATAACACTGCTGAGTTATGGAGGCAACATTGCCATGCTTTATTTAATTGTGTGAAAGGGGAGCCATATAATTTGGGAAACATTGCTAGTATGTGTTGTTTTTTCTAAATGTATTGGTACCACAGATAACCAGTTTGGCTTTAAATCAAAGCATGGTACTAATCTTTGTATTTATGCCTTGAAAGAAGCTGTTGAGGTCTATAGGAGGAAAAACTCCTCTGTCCTGATAGGAATTGTTGATACCTCTAATATACGTTAAATAGTGCAGGAGAAAACAACACCATTGCTCACTCCAAAGGCGGTGAAAATTATAACTTCCTGTTTGACTTGCATACTCTGGTTGGCATACCAGTACGCCAAGAGTATATACAATATATATTCAGGGACACCCTTTTTACTTAGTTTCATAAATAACTTCTGATGGTTGACACGATCGAAGGCCAACATGTATGAATAATCTATCCAAACAACTGAACTGTTGCAAACTGGTTGTGTGTCTGTTAACAGTATAATCAATCACCTCATGTATGCTGATGATTTGGCAATTTTTTCCCCTGGCAGCGCTGGGTTTTAGCATATGTCATCATCATATGTTCAGGAGTATCATATGATGTGCAATACAATGCCAAAAAGAGTACTGTTTTGATATGCAGAACAAAAGGGGACAAGGACCGAATAAAAACTTTACCAATTTTACTGTCAGGACAGATGTTGAGTGTGAGCACCAAAATAAAATATTTAGGGCACATTAATACGGATCAAATGTTGGATGATGACAACATGTACAGACAGTGTTGAATATTATATGCCCAGGCCAATATGTTGGCAATGGAATTTTCAATATGTTCAGACACTGTCAAGAAAAATCTCTTAGAGCATATTGCACTCCTCTTTATACTGCCCCCTTGTGGGCCAGGTTTAAAATGGCAAGCTTACAAAGTTTAAAGTTTATAATGACTCCATGAGAATTATTATTATAATTACTATTTAAAAAACCATGGTGCACTAGTGCAAGTAAGCTATTTTTTAATGCAGGAGTTAACACTTTTCAGGCTCTTATGAGAAACATGATGTAAAAACATATCTGCCGATTGAAGGACTCTCAGAATTCTTTTATTATGCTGCTGACAAATCCCAGTCAAAGTTCTGTGCGATACCAGTGCTCCTTGTGGCGACACTGGTACAGCTGTCTTTTATAATTTTGGTGATGTTTTGTCTGTTTGTTTGTCTTTTTACCTTGTCTTTTTTATTTGTTTGCTTTTTTATATGTTTTCTAATGAGACATCCGTCTAAGTGCAGCATGTGGAAATATGACTTGCAAATTTATATGTGATTAAAAGTACATATTCTGCTATTTTTACAAAAACCACAATCTCACAGGAAATGATGATTTGGACAGTTTCATAAATACCCCCTTTAATTTAGTAAGTTTAAGTTTAAATTAGGCTATTTCTTATGTATTTTGATGTAATATGCTGCATGTTTTTTTCCACTGTCCAATTACCTTTTAAAAATGATTAACTTCTGTAAAATTACAGATATATCCTGTTAATGTGCAGTTATTTGTGTTTACTGTTTTCATACATTATTTTCTAGTTATTACATGAAAAAATAATTTTTCAAGTTAATTGTCAAGTTTACGGTGTAGTCTCGTAGAATAAATAAAAAAATGCCCTACATTAACAGATATTAAACTGAATGGTAGTTGTTTTTTATATATTTTTACATTATGTTTTTTTTAATATATTTTTACATTATGTTTTTTTTTACTGTGAAATAGACATTAATCAACTATAATTATTTTGCAGTATAAACGATAATATTTCAATTTGACTTTATTGTTGTTAAGAGTCTGAAACACTGTAAATTGTGTCTTGGCCAGGAAACTCTTGTAAAAGACATTCTTAATGTCAATGAGACTTTTCCTGGTTAAATAAAGGTTAAATAAAACAAGAAAATAATTAAATATGACTGGAGATGCAGGGGCTGCAGGGGCTGCATGCTGCATCAATGAAGCACATAATATAAAAATTGACATTTTGTAAAATAACGGAATATAACCAATGTATCCATATTTGGAATATATATAGTGCTAGCGTGCCACAGTGCATCTATTGATTTATTGTCTCTGACATAAGATACAACGGAAGAGGGTCACTGTAAAACTAACACTGTAAAACACTGTAAAAAAAATTCTCAGAATTCTGGCTCTGAAAAATAAAGTCAGAATTCAGAGCAAAAAGTCAGAATTCTGACTTTTTTCTCAGAATTCAGAGATTAAGTCAGAATAAATAAATAAAAAGTCAGAACCAAACAATTTTTTTTTCAGTGGCCCTAATCCTCTTCGGTATGATACGGCTTCGCTTTGTTAAAGATATCATTACCTTAAAGATATCAAAACAAACTGTAATGGTCTAAATCTATAATTCTGTCAAACATAGTTCTCATCCTTTCCACATGTTTACCATAACCTTTTCCCCAATAATTTATAAACTAGCCAATAATGTGAGATACATTTCTGATTTTGCTTTACATGGACTTTACGTTGAAACAGAAACCTGTTTATTCTGAAGGGTACTTTAATAAGTAGGCAAACATATTCCAGTATTTATCCCCTTTAATCTTATCTTATCCCAGGTGTTTGCCGTGAAAGCACTGTTAACCACTTAAACATCTAGTCTAATGAATTGATCAAATAGCCTAATAATTGAAATGGAATGTTTCCCATGGGATTTGAACAGGCAGCCATTTTATGTAAAACTCATAAGGCATCTTCCCTAACTTCAACCCCCGCAAGCCACGTTTCTTCCTCTTTTATGACACACACACACACACACACACACGCACACGCGCGCGCGCGCACACGCACACGCACACACACACATACATACACACACACACACACACACACACACACACACACACACACACACACAGTGAAATATGATCGGCGCTCTTTCGACTGCAGTTGAACCTAACTCTTCTCCAGTTCAGGGATGATCCGTGAGGAGAAAGGAAGAGGTTTTCAGTGGACTACTTTCCGTAGTTGTCATTCTGCCCAGAGAACAGAAAAGTTGCAGCTTTAGCAGCCGACTGCCACATCACACGCTACCTTCGTGCCCTTTTGGCTTCTGCTCTCAAACATGCATTTGGGTTACGGGATTTATGTGTTGTTTCATTTACTAACGCATAGTTGTTGGTGCGCCCCGCAGCAGACTTGTCAGCCGGGAGACGTGTTATTAGGTAAGAACAATTTAAACAATGGTTTAGAGAAAAATGATTATTATAAGCACGAAACTTCAGCTACCGTGCACGATGGGGGGGGGACGTCCCACAAGTTGGATAGAAAAGTCAAGGTCTTATCGTATATTGAGCAATAGGCCTACTGAGGAAGATTCAGGACAAAAAAGAAAGCTTTTTTCAGCACCGTGGTTTAAACAATAAATATATACAGTAGGCTATTCGCTCTTATTCAGGCTAAATATTACACTTTAAGTGTGATTAATTTGTATATTCTCTATTTTCTAGCAGCTTTTTTAAAAAATTAAGTGTCGTTATTAAACTATTACATTTTTTTTTATCCTGGTCTCATATTAACACCAGTATCAGCTGTATTTGTGGAACGTTTTTTTTTCCTTGGCATAAACATGTAAGTGAAGGCCCTCCTTTGGCTCGTTTCGTGGTATGAAGGTGTCTCCTCCTAGCGTTTTCATTTGATACTCAATATTTTCATGCGTCCTCATGTTTGTTTGTTTGACTTGTTTTATCTCACAGGAAGATGCAGAAACGATGTGTTTGAAGAAAAACGTGGGTGGCTAAGTAATTTCAACTTTTTCAAAATATGTACAGTATGTATCCATGTTTTGGCCTGTTCACTTTGTAAGGAGATGTTTTTTTCAAGCCTTGACTTGAACCCATTATTTCAAATACCATTTGCTGTTTGATGCCTACTTCTCTGCTTTGCAAGTCTTATCCTCATTTTGTAGGGGACGATTTTTGGACCTTAAAAAATCCCATAATATAGTACTCAATTTCGAAACCCCAGGTGCTTCCTAAGCCAGGCTTGTTTTTTTTAATAGCACACAGGCCTGCTGTCATCATAGGCCTACACAATTGAAGGTTATAGCTTTTGCTTAAAAGCCAGTCAGAGATGTAGCCTAGCTATTATGGGTTTAAAAAAATAAAACAAACACACAAAATAAATTCAATCTCAAACTTAAACCAACCCAAATCATTACTTACATATTCTTTCAATTTAAAATGAACTTCTATACTGTGTCTTTTGTCTCCTACAGCTACCTGTACAGCGCTGAATCTGGGCTACTGTAATGATATGGAATATTCTAGGTGGGTTGTAGAGTTTGGTTTGTGGGCAAGCCATCAGTGCCATCTAAAACCATCCAACATACTGATATTTTAAGCTGTTGTTTATACATTTTAACATTTCTGTCTCATTTTCATGGCTCATTTTTACTATAATTTTTTAACAACATATGTAAAATTGCTGCTACCCCAGAACCATGTTCCCGAACATCCTTGGCCACAGGAGTCATTCTGAGGCAGAGTCAGGGGCAGAGTACCTTCTCCTAAGTGTCATCCATGGCCTACTCCAGGGGGAGTGCTCCCCAGAGATTCGTCTTGTAGGCTGCTCTGTACTCGCCTCACCTTGCAAGGATAACAAGATGATTAAACCCTGCCGCAGTACTTGTGAAGCATTGAGGAAGGACTGTTTCCATGCCTTTGAAGCCATTGAAATGGCTTGGCCCTACTTCCTAGACTGTGATCGCTTCTTTGCCAGTGACCAGGAGGGCTGCTTTGATCCACTAGTTAGGCTGAAAGGTAAAGGTTACACTGTCATGTTGCACCATGCACGCCAATGCATGCCTAGTAGTGCTCCTTAAAAAATGTTTTTTTCCTCTCTGTTACTCTTGTTATCACTTTTCTAGCCAGACAGGAGCTAGCATTCTCTCCTGAAGAACCCACCACAATAATCCAGTTCACCTACACTTCCAACACCCAGATGTACAGTTTATTGAAGAGAACAGCTGCCAAGTGCTCCCATGTGTCTAATGTCTACAGTATTGGACGCAGCACAGAAGGCAGGGATCTATTGGCTATTGAATTCTCTAACAACCCAGGACACCATGAGCTATGTAAGTAACAGTGAGCAGTGCTCATGAATTGCGCCTATGAGATAATTTTGTGCTATAGTATATGTAGTTTCTGATTACATTATTGGTTTTATTACTCTTAATTCACAGCTGTTGGCCACTTAAGGGCAATGGAATCAAGGTGTTATTCATATATTGTCACCTTATTATGTCAGTAGTTTTTAGCAGTCCCTTAAACATCCAGCAGACACTGAGCAACATTAGCATGTATTGGAGTCTATTTAATTTAGACCTAACAAGTATAATTCAATTTCATTTTCTTTGAATGGTGTATATTTATTCTGCTAATTCCCGAAATATTGTCATTACTTTGTTGCTTAATTAAGTGGGCTGGTGTTGTGAACATTTCACATTTTTACAAATTTTTTTACGAAAATGTGTATTACAATAGGGAAAGTGAACCAAAACAGTTAAGTTGTGGGCCAAGTAAATTAAAAAAAAAATCTCTGAAAGACCTTTAAATACATTATATACTTATTTATATCTGTTTTCATCATTCTTAAGACTGACTAAAAGACATGACAGTGGTCTAAAACTTGCTAAGTAAAACCAAGGGTTTCCAAGATCAGAGTTTTCACAAAAAAGGATGGTTTGTGCAGCATATGACTAACTGCAAACATGGATATGTAAGTCAGCAGAGAAGCATATTTTACAAACTAAGATAATAACAATAACTTTATTTATATAGCACCTTTAAAAAAGTGCTTTGACAGACAAAGCAATGGCAGGAACTCAGGACAATAAAACAATAATCATCAGCAGTAAGGAATGTATTTATATATATATATATATATATATATATATGTATGCAAACATTTAATAAGAAAATAAGACAATAAACAACAGGCCTGTCCAAATACAGTTAAGACTCTAAAGCAATAACATTAAACAAAAATTAAACAAAAAACAAACAAAAAAAGGTCAACAAGCTACAGTAATGGCAATAATATCAAAGTAAAGAAGACAACATCACATCACAGAAATTAAAATTAAGACAATAAGGGGTGAAATAAAGGAAAGTTGGTAAATATATAAAAGCAGCTAAGGGCAGAAGAATCAAACTTGTTAAGATGGTTAAGAATGGATGAAAAGGATAAGAGCAATACAATGAATAATGGAAAGGATACATTTGAAGGCTTAAACATTAAAAGAAGACTTGAGAATAAATAAAAATGGTAAGAACAATAAAATGAATAAAGGAAGGGATAGATTGATGTAAAAGAAAGTCTAAAAAAAAAGGGAAAATCACATAAAAGTCTATCTGTTAGAACCAGGAAAAGCCTAGCTGCTGCGTTCTGGACCAGTTGGAGGCGGGAGAGTGATTTTTGGGTGATACCTGAAAGGAGTGAATTGCAGTAGTCCAATCGAGAGAAGATCAGTGAGTGAAGGATTTTTTCCAGGTCAGCAGGGGGCAGAATGGTTTTGATTTTGGAAATTGACCCGAGATGAATGAAACACGACTGGACAACTTTTTTTGTTAATAATTAAAGGTGAGGTCTGAATAAAAAATAACTCCTAGATTTCTTGCTGTGGGTGTGATGTTGGGTAGTTGAATAGAATTATTTCGGATTTTGAGTCATTTAAATGTAGAAAACTTTGGCCTTTTATCTTTCAGACAGTTAAAAACAACAGCTGGGCTTCTTTGATCACCAGGTCTCAGAGGAAGGCATATCTGTGTGTCGTCTGCATAGCAATGAAAAGAAAGGTTATGCGTGTACCACATGGCAAACCTTGTGGTACACCACAGGTAATTTGAGAGGTGGATGAGGAGTGGTTACCTATGGTGACTGCAAAGGATCTGTCTAAAAGATAGGAACAAAACCAACTAAGTGCAGTATCCTTGACACCAACCCAGGACTTGAGACAGTCAATTCAAATGGTATGATCTACTTTGTCGAATGCTGCACTTATATCTAAAATAATTAAAATTGCGCTCTCTCCTCTGTCAGTCGCTAAAGAAGGTAATTTGTGACTCTGAGGAGGGATGTTTCTGTACTATGGAGTGCTCTAAAACCAGACTGAAACTTTTCAAAGGTGTCATTTCCATTCATAAAAGCTAAAATCTGTGTTAAAACAACTTTCTCTAAAACTTTGGATAAATGGGAGTTTAGAAATTGGCCTAAAATTACTAAGAGCAGTGGGGTTAAGATTTGGTTTCTTTAAAAGAGGTTGGACCACAGCATGTTTAAAAGCAGATGACCAGTTAAAAGTGAGCTGTTAATATTCGATAAAATGCTGGGCCCAACCGCATCTATGACCTCTTTCAGAAATGTATATGGCATGGCGTCAAGGCTGCACGTAGTTGGATTCATATGAGATAAAATATAAGATAAAATCGGAATTGAGATAGGGTTAAAAACTGCGAAAATAAGTATCATTAAGTCTTTGGGATTGTAAAAACATGGTTGGGGGGTAATCTCATTCATTTTATTCATAAAATGTTTTAAAAATGACTCCCATCTCTCAGGCATCAATAAAATGACAAGGGGAGGGCTTGGTGACGGAGTCTAAAATGTTATATAAAGCTCTTGGGTTAGAATGGCTTTATAAATTATGTTAGAATAAGTTCTCGCTTCTATAATTGCTTTTTGATAATTATTCATGGCATCTTTCCAAATCTCATGAAAAATGTGTTAACCAGTTTTTTTCCATTTTCTTTATTTTCTTCTGCAGTCCCTTTGTAATTCTTGTGTTGTATCATTTAGCCAGGGCTGCTGTGTTTTCAAATAATTTTTGACTATGAGCGGGGCAACAGAATCAAGGGTGGTCTTACAGATAAGAGCAAAGTCGAATATATTGACATATTGCATAAGTAAATGTTTTTGAAATTTATTATGAACAATTCAACATCCCTCAGAATCAGCTTCCCCCTTCAGGGTCTTCATGATTGGGGATGTCAGTGCCACCAGTCTGTAGTCCATGGAGCCAATGGCACAGGAATAAGGCAGGGCGTCTTTCACAGCATGGGAGCAAAGTTGTCCCATAACATGCTTAAGCACTATTGTGGTGGCTGCAATCTATTAAAGTATAGATTCATGGCCCCAAACCCGTAATGGTCTTCAAGTCAAGTAAACGCAAGTTTTCTTCATTGTCATTTCAACCATTCACAAGTACACCGTGTGAGTACTCCTTCTGTAGTTCTCCTTTGTGTCCCCCCCCCCCCCCCCACAATTGTTATGCTGACTGCAGGAATGTCCACCAGAGCTTTTTCCCGTGAATTTTATGTTAATTTTCCTACCATAGTCCTCATGTTATTCTGCTGAAGTCTTAGCTCCAGTTTCCTTCTGTAGTTATCCTTAGTTTCCAGGGTCCATCCCCCCACCCCCCCATTGTCAATTCTAGGTTGAACATGCTTTTTTTTTTTTTTTTTGTAGAGGGCGCCACCTAGCCGTATTGTTGGAGCTCAGGCCAAGTGAATACTAATGTTGCTACAAGCTGCTAGATGTAAAAAAAAAATGTACTAGCAAATGCACCATTACACATTTAAAAAGTTTTGTTGGTTAATATGTTTGCTTCATTCTGAAATAGTGGAGCCAGAGATCAAGTTGGTGGGAAATATGCACGGCAATGAAGTGCTGGGACGCCAACTGCTCATCTACCTGGCCCAGTATCTGTGTTCAGAATACATTCTGGGGAACCATCGAATTCAGACCCTTATCAACACTACCCGCATACACATTCTGGCCTCCATGAATCCAGATGGCTATGAGCTGGCTGCCTCAGAGGTAGAAGATAACAATGACCCGGAGATCAGCAACCAGGAAGTAAATACTGTTAACATGGAAAAATAGACAAACCTCCATTATCCATTTTCAATCCACTGTCCATTCTGTCTGTGATGCTTAGGAAGTGGATTGATGTACTGTGCTAGGGGAAAACTTAGTTGTCTCTTTTTAACTTGAAAGCTGACAAACAAACAAACAAAAATGTAAAAAAAAATGTTGTAGTTTACTAGTTATGGTAATAGAAAAATACTTCAAACAAGTAGCAATAGATAAGTGAGTGTGGGAAGCTATCAGTACATTTAAGTACTGTTTTATCTAATCCTGGTTGATGCTACGTTGAGACACACAAGAAATATTAAATCCTTAAATTCTATATGTTGATAAAGTTTCTCCCCTGAACCAGAGAGATCAACTTAAAACCCTTTTCATTTTTTTTTTATTGTAGGAATGACACAAGTCTGATCCTACTATTTTATTTAGGACCAAAGGACCAATTTATATATGTCTGACAAGCCTGAGAATGTGGGACACTGGCTTTTCTTTATGCACAGTATAACAATACCGACACAGCCTTGAGGTGAATGATGAGAATGCATAACATCATCATTGTTCCTCTAACAAGCTCTGCTTGCATGTGCGCATGTTTATAATATAAAAAATGTAATATCACAATTTAGCCTTATGCCTTCATGGGTAGGCATATAATATAAACACACATTGAAATGATTTAATATGCATGAGTTAGTCTGACAGACTGAGTGTAGAGATTATCAAAAATATATAAATTCTAATATTTTGTCCATTAAACTTCTGCTGTTTGACGATACATACTGTACGTAAAGTATTTGTCAAAATTGTAATGTTATGCAATTGTTGTTGAAAAAGCCCTGTTAGGTTGACGGTATGGATACAACAAATTAATTTTCTACTCACCTCTTCTATTAATTTGTTTTTTACCTTGTCATTCTACTTTTCTATGTGGATACATGGCCATGTCTACATGTTAACAAGATAATTAAAGCTAGTATATGTTCCTTCATACAATTTTTAAAATAATATTCATATAATTTTGCTGAAAACTTTTGTGCGTAATGAATTTTACCTCTATTGTCTTCATTTTCAATAATGTTATACATCTACTGTTGTCCAACATTCTGGCCATTTTTTAATACTCATAGTTGTTTGGATCCACTTTTTTCAGGGTCACTTGTTGAATAGTTGGACAAATGGAAGGACCAATGCCCAGAATATTGACCTCAACCGCAATTTTCCAGACCTCACCTCCATTTTGTACCGGAACCGCCGCAGCAGGCATTACCGCACTGACCATATCCCAATTCCTGATGCATACTGGTTTGGCAAGGTGAGAGGATAATTTGCATTCATTTTATTTGTGGTAAATCATCCACATACACTGAACATATGAACGCAACACTTGTATTCTTGCTCTATTTTTTCACGAGTTGAAATCAAAGGTCTAAGACTTTTTCTATGTACACAAAAGGCCTATCTGTCACAAATTTTGTTATTAAATTTGTTTAATAACAACATTTGAGTGTGAGTGAGCACCTCTCTTTTGCCAAGATTATCCATCCACATGGCAGGTGTGGTATATCAAGATGCTGATTCGACAGCATGATTATTGCACCTTAGCCTTAGGCTGGTCACAATGAAAGGCCCCTCAAAAAAGTGCAGTTGAATCACACAGCACAATGTCAGAGATTCCACAAGTTTGGGGGAGTGTGAATGTCATGCTGACTGCAGGAATGTCCACCAGAGCTTTTTCACGTGACTTGTATGTTAATTTCTCTACCATAAGCCGTCTCCAAAGTCGTTTCAGAGAATATGGCAGTTCACCCAACTGGCCTCACAACCACAGACCATAACCACACCAGCCCAAGGCCTCCACATCTTCACCTGCATGATCTTCTGAGAAAAGCCACGTTTGCATAATCAAAAAATCTCTGCAACCACTGTGAGAAACCCTCTCAGGGAAGTTCATCTGGATGCTTGATGTCCTAACCGGGAACTTGCCTGACTACAGTATATCGTCGTAACCAACTTGAGTGGGAAATTGCTCATCTTCAATGGCGTTCACAGCTGAATTGTTTTGCTTATGTCAACGTTGAGAAAAGAGTGGCCCATGGTGATGATGGGGTTATGGTATGGGCAGGTATATGCTATGGGCAAAAACACAGGTGCATTATATCGATGACATTTTGAATGTGTAGAGAGACACTGTGACGAGGCCTATTGTTGTGCTATTCATCCAGCACTATCACCTCATGCTGCAGCATGATGATGCCACAATACACAATTTCTGGAAGCTGAAAACATCCCTGTTCTTTGCGTTGCCTTCAAACTCACTAGACATGTTGCAAGTTGGGCATGTTTGGGATGCTCTGGATCAGCGTATACGACAGCGGGTTTCAGTTCCTGCCAATATCCAGGAACTTCGCAGAGCCGTTGAAGAAGAGTGGACCAACATTTCGCAGGCCACAACCCCACAACCTGATCAACTCCATGCTAAGGAGATGTGTTGCACTGCGTGAGGCAAATAGTGGTCACAACAGATACTTAAAGGTTTTTTTTTTGCCTCCCTGCGAAGATAAAACTGCACATTTTAGAGTGGCCTTGTATTTTGACCAGCCTGAGGCACACCTGTGCAATAATCATCCTGTCTAATCTTCACCTATCAGGTGGATGGATTATCCTGGCAAAGGAGAAGTGCTGACTAACACAGATTTAAACAGATTTGTGAATAAATCTTGGATCTTTGGTTTCAACTCGTGAAAGATTGGAACAAAAACAAACGTCAACCTGGATCCAAAAAATTTCCAATACTGCCTTTGGACTGTAGGTGGCACCGGAGACCCATGCAGTTATGAAATGGATTCGGTCACTGCCTTTCGTTCAGTCTGCCAGCCTTCATGGTGGGGAGCTGGTTGTCTCTTATCCCTTTGACTTCTCAAGACACCTACATGAGGAGAGAATGTTCTCCCCCACTCCAGATGAGCAGGTAGGGAGGGGAAATGGATGGCTGAGTTTATAGACAGAAATATTAATGGTTGCTGAACATGACAGGTTCAACTGTGCAGGTATATTCTATCTCGAAACATTAAGTATAATAATCTTCCCACACTAGGTCTTTAAGCAGCTGGCTCGTACCTACGCAGATGCCCATGCTACCATGTCAAACAACGACACTGAGAGGTGTGGAGCCTCTTTTTACCGAAATAGGGGCATCATCAATGGGGCATTGTGGTATAGTTTTGCTGGTGGTAAGATATAATCATTTTCAAGCTAGCGAGGACCATTAAATATTTGCTTTTGATATCGCTTGTGAGTATGTATTTATTAATTTGTCTTTCTTGCAGGTATGTCAGACTTCAACTACTTGCACACAAATTGTCTAGAGGTCACCGTGGAGCTCGGCTGTGAAAAATTCCCCTCAGAGGCAGAGCTTTACCCAGAATGGAAAAGAAATAAGGAAGCTCTGCTCAGTTTTCTGGAGTCTGTACGTTTTAGTAATCCCGCTTTAGTCAGACACTTTATAAAGTGCTTGTTGTAATATGTCTTGCAAGCATAAAAAGAGAGATAAAAATAATGCTAATCATAAGTATGTACCTATAGACATTGGCACAAGACAGATGAAAGCATTTTTGCCTGGCAGGCTGTAGCTCAGTGGTATCTCTTAACCGGAAGGTCGAAGTTAGTTTTCCAGCTCCTGCAGTCACATGAACCCAAAATTGCTGCTGTGTCAGCGGTATGTGTATGAATGGGATTAGTTACTAATGGACACTTCACATAGCAGCCTGAGCCGTAAGTATTTGAATGTGATGTGAATGGGTAAATATGACCTGTAATTTAAAAAGAGCTTTTAATAGTCAAAAGACTAGAAAAGTGCAACACAAGCTCAATTCAAGTCCATTTGACTAAGAGTAAAATAAATAAACATACAGTCCATGGAAATTATACAGCTATTTATTGTTGTCCCTTAACAGGTCCATCGGGGGATAAAAGGTGTAGTTAAGGACACTGGAGGAAATGGAATAAAAGGTGCCACTATCTCTGTCAGGGGGATTAGGAAAGATGTAACCACAGGTAAATACAGATATATTGATACTCACGCACACACACGTCCTTTTTCCCCTCACTCCTTTTCTCTCTTCCCCCTAGCCGAAGATGGAGACTACTGGCGGCTGCTGAACCCTGGTACTCACATCCTGACGGCCACAGCTAAAGGTTATTCCAGGGTCAGCAAGAGGGTTCATCTGCCTCAAAACATGAACAGGGCTGGACGTGTTGACTTTGTCTTGGAGAAGGTTGGTTGTTTTTATTATGCTGTCCAGCACATTTTCTGAAAGGTACTGTAAAGCCTCTTTTGAATCTAGTTTCATTTCCCTGATTTGGTTTGAGTTAATTACATATGTTTATCAAGGACCATCCTAAAAAAATCTGTTAATTTAAGAAATGTGCCAGAGAAGGAGGAGAGATGGGCCTCAGTAAGCCACTGTTTTATGTCCCTGTGACAAACATTTACACAAATATCCATTCAAGCAACATTTTAAAATTCCCAACATATCCAGAAACTTCCTTGCAGCATCAGCAATATTATTTTTTCCTACAGAATTCCACACAATCAAAAACTTAAAAAGGGACTTATTTGTTTTTTTTTTTGCAATTCAAGTTTTTATTAATTTTTGCATCATTTACAACAAACATACAAACAAAACAAATAATATTGACGTTTTTAGATGTCCGGAATCAGTACATTAAAAAGAAAGGAAAAAAACCAAACCAAGGCGACACCTCTCCTAAACACATACAGAGAAAACAACAACCACAACAACAAATGTTTTTATTTTTTTTATTATTTTTTTTACATAAAACCCCTAGCAGGCAGCCCCTCATGAAAAAACATATGTAGTACCTATACACGTGCATATGTATAGGCCTACCTACAAACAGGTAACTCTATCTCCCAATTTTATATTTCATACAGTGTAAGATGCATTTGCACACACATTCATTTACAGATCTCCCCTGACATCATCCTTTACTCTCTCTAAGATTTAAAATTCCTAATATAATCCATAAATGCTGTCCATATCTAGCTACTTTTGTTTTGGACATTTTTTAGTCTGGCAATCATACTGTATTTTCAGAAGTTTCTGCCACAAGTTTGAGCCATTCTGTAAACTGTGGTTTGTATGGGCTCTTAGAATTACGCAGGATAATCATGGCATCTACAATACAACCTGTTATTATCATGTACCTGTGATGTATGATGATCATCCTAATCAGACAATATCTTCATAAGAATGTCTGAAATTATCTGTGAAGCCAACATCAGTTTCTGGAAAACACCCCAAGAGCTAGCGGATGAATAATGACATTCATTCGTCAGAATAAAATATTACATTTTATAACACTTGATTTGTTTGAAGCATTTTGTAATTGCTTTGCAGTTTTATGCCTTCAATATTACGATCATTTTGGAACAGAAAGAAATATAATAATATTCCCTAAATTTATATGAAGTCTGATAACCAATCAGGTGATAGTTATAATCTTCACAAAAGCAATGGTGTCTTGCCTGTTTGAAATCTAAAAAAAATTAACTTCATCGGATCTTCATTACGAATAAACAGCAGCTGTCTTAACTATATAGTTATATATATATATATATACCTCTGCACCCCCTTTGGTCAGAGTATGAACTCTTGAATTCAGGGCGCAGGTACAGAATGCCCAGGATGAGGACTAAAAGAGGCATTACATCCTTTGTACCGCGCAGTATTCAGCTGCTTAATAAGAACTGATTATAACTTGCTGAAATCCCTCATTGAATCATGTGATGCTTTAGTGTGTTTTATGTGTTCTTATGTGCTGTCCTGTAAATTTTTGTTTGTATTGTGTTTTTTAGCTCTCTGTGCAAGGCAAATTCCCCTAGGGGCAATAAAGGTTTCATTCATTCATTCATTCATTCATAGGGTTAGAGCCTTTACTGATAGGATTAATAGAAACACAAGTTCAAATGATTAAATTAAATTATAGATGGAGATATTCAAAGTTCAACTATTATGCCTTCTTAGGTCTTTGTATTTTTATATTTTTATTGTATTTTTATCCATGCACTCAATCCTCATTCTTTTCCTTTTCTATACACTAGGTACCTGTGGATCCTGATTTTGGCCACCACTTCTTCCCGACATTAGATACATGGGATCGATTTGACCCATATAACCAGTTTGAACGCTACGGCGAACAAGATGTGGAGGGGGGGATAGAGCGGCAGGAGAAACCATGGTGGTGGAGCTACTTCTCCCAGTCAGGAATTTCACCCCCACACTGGTTGCTGCGAAATGTCTAGATGCTTTACAGCACATAAAGACACCAGCATACCATGAGGAGAATGGTGATGGGAAAGTCCACCTACAGTTCCGCTTGAGCTTTCATAGATTTCTAGGCAACAAGAGCTATGGCACTGAAATTACTGTAACTGAATTAGGCTTTAGAGCTTCCTGGAATGATATGAATCAACTTTGGTCAGACCAGGCTAAAAGTAATAATTTTGTCCTGTGTGTGGTATTTTGACCAAAAGTCCTATGCAGCTGTATTTAAAAAATAACCACTTGGATGTAAATGAGTTATATATGCATCAAATATTTACCTTGCTTAAGACATTCACAGTCAAAAATCACGCCATGGATTTATGTGAATGTTGGGATTACAGATTACAATTACTTTAGATACAATTTTTGATGCAAATGTTGCTTGGATAAATAATGAATTTAGATTTTTATCGTCCAATTGTTTGTTATGTGTACATGTAAAATGATGTTACAGGTCCTATAAATGGCAAATAACAACTGTTCATTTAATACATACAAAACCTGTTACAACATCTAACATTTAGTACCACATTAAATAATGTTTATTGAGGCTCTACTAGGACCATTTACAATAGAAATGTTTGCAATGTTTTTTTCACAAGTATACAAATGTATTCCTTTGCTTTTTTGCACATGTGTATGAAGTTAAAATTAAAGTTGATAATGATTGGGCACCTAGTTGGTCATAAGAATTTGGATGTTTGACAAATTTATTTGACACAAACAGATCTCACTATTTTTGTTATTAATTTGCCAGTTTATTCATGTAATTGGGACATGCTAATGCTCTGTTGAGGTATATAAATCTACTCTTTGAGATTTACGTTGAAGACTTGTGGAAAACTACACTGTAAACCCAAACCAAATTATAATTTGCTTGTTACTTATTTTTTAAACCTCTTCTATTTACAGGACTGTTAGCGTAGCCATGCAGTAGCCTGCAGTTGGCTGAACTTGCATCAAACGAAGTTGTATTGAGTTATCAGTGTAACCCCTACTGTCTTTTGCGTTTACCTTTCCCCTCTCCTCTCTTCCAAACCCTTCCACAGCAAAACCGAAAAATGTTTGATATACATAGTTTTTAAATTGAGAGTAAAAATATAGTCATTTCAGCATTTGTAGAGTCTAATTTTACTACATGATGGTTATTCTTAAATAGGGATGACCCCATATAGTCGACTCTTCAATGATTCCTTCAAAAGAGCCTTAGTCGACAGCCAATCTCTCAGTCAAACGTGTTTATGAAACACGGATCCTTCCATTGCAGCTATATGGGGGTGTTTAATGTCTAATTTTACATAGGTTTGCCTGTCTTATCCAAATAAATCATGACTCATAGCCCAACATTGTATGATTATGAAGTTATTACGAAGAATACTTTATGCAACTCTGAAAATAACTAATGTACTTTACTTTTAATCAATCTCCTTGTGCATGAACAAATTACCCCAGAAATGTAGGGTTGAATGGATCATCCCATTTTGTGTGTGGGGTCATTTGAGCAACAGCATCTATAATCGCCTTGAAATATTTATAGTTTCGCAAAAGCTAGTCAGGCTGCATTATTTTTTCAAGATGCACTCTCAGTGTTAGATTGACAACAGCTCATTAAGGGGCACCACAGCCCTTAGTTAACTCTGTGGAAACGAAACCTGAGATCCCCACTCTCTTAGAAGAGGAAAAATGGATATTAATAACAAAAATTGCCAAGTTTGTTGCTCTTGAATGGAAGAGGATTTTGGCCACTAAATTTAGTTTGAGTATATAACCTTTTTTTTTTTAGAATTCTGTCTTTTTACTCAGAATTCTGACTTAAAGGAAGAATGCAACTTTTTGATCCAGTAGATGTCGCCCTTGAGCACCAGCATGAAACCATAACAAACAGCTGTTTAGCAACACCTTCGCTATTCTGAAGCATTAGCTCTCCTCCAGTGGCATAATTAAGCGCGAGTGCAGACAAAGTTGTTCTTGGCTCGAGCTGCAATTGCCTGTGTCCTTCATTGTTGTGTTAGCAGGCTAATGATACCTCACTTTGGTTATCTCATAGCTTCATATTGCACATAAATTGACACAGAATGATTGTGATCTAAAGGCACATATGTGACATCCAAATAAGCAGTGAGTTGGCTATGTTATTCTTCTTTTCTCTAGTCCTTGACTAAAACAGCTTTATAATCAAGTCTGTCCCGTCCATGTAAACATGATATAAAAACTGCCCGATATTAACATGGCCAGCGCTTCTTACTTATTGTAGACAGTCATGACTCGGAGAGACATTTACAGAGGATATAATTGATTAAGAGCTGTGCCAGATGCCCTGCACTTCCACTGAAGCAGATATTACCTAGGACTGGTCAAAGGCATTAAGCCTGTTGCACGACTGAAGCAGGACCTGCAAGAATTACACCAGCAGCTCTCCCAGATGAAGATAGTCTTTCCTGCCATCACCCTTAGAGGAGCTGGAGGACTTCTGCAAAACTAAAGAAGGTTGACAAAACCTGGCGCTTTGTGATCAGTAAACAGTTCCATCTGTTGGTAGAAGCATTGTGCATCATCCTCCATCCAAAACAGAGAGAATCTGGTTCATTTAAAATGTTTTCCAATTCTTTATTATATTTCCCCGTGCTTGAAACGCCCAATGCAGTAGTATTGTGTTGGATTTTCTTTTCCACCATATTTGGCAGAGAAAAACGTAACCAGGATCTCTATACTTTATTTAATGTTTAATGGGATTTCTGTGTTAAATTATTTGTTTTACTTTCTTTTATACCCCAGTAATTTGACCTGATGATCTCCATTGTATTTTAACATGGTTAACCTAGCTAGGGGTTGGTGAAATGTTTATATAAACTTATTTTTAATTCTGACATGCCTGTCTCCTGGACCAACTGTCAACAGCTAAGCTAACGGCTTTCAAACTTTTTCAACACATTTAATGTCAATAAGTGCACTGTAAAGCATATACTTAAGGTGAGTAGACTAGCAAGATACATAAGAGATTCTATTTCCATTTTATCCGAACAGTCTATTTTCTTTCTTACTAAAACTAAATGTAGCAGGAGCAGTAGATTAATTGATTGCGACAACGCCACCTGGGGGAATTTCGCCCCCGACGGGGAGTGCAGTGCCGAACATCCATGGGTTGCAGGCATCACCAGGCTGGACACTTTATAAACAATGACTGGGAAATTAACTTGTATGTACTGCAAACCAGTGTAATGCACGAAACTTACACCAGTGCACACATTTCAGAAGTACTTAAGAGAGCAGTGGATAGTGGAAACTTGCCACTAAGGAGCCAGTGGTTGTTACCGATAATGCTGCAAACATGAGCGTAGCGGTGGAGCTAACAGGCTACCAGCATGTACGGTGTTTTGCCCATGTATTAAACCTTGCATCACAACAGGCCCTTAGAGTAAACGCTGTCGCCAGCCTACTTGCCAAAGCTAGGAGGCTCTCTACGTTCTTTCACAGGAGCACAGTAGGGGCAGAAGCACTGAAAAAGAATCAGAGACTCCTTGGACTACCCCTGCACAAGTTCATCACTGACATGCCTGTTTGTTGGAATAGTGCCTACGAGATGGTCTCCAGGTTTCTTGAGCAACAGCCAGCCACCTGTGCTGCCCTCTTGTCTCCTGAGGTAAGATTGTTTGATATTTAATAATCCTTCAGTATGTTTTTGTATGTAATTTAACTTATCAGAGGCAATGAACTAAGCTTTTACACACACAACATAACAAATCCATATTTCTATCACAACATCTACTCACTCTATTCTACTACAGATAATTCAATTCATAAATGCCAGTAAATGTTAAATATTTTGAATTCATATCTAATAAATACATTTTAAAATTTTAATTACGTGCATTAATGTTTTATTCTGTTTGTTTTCTTAAAAAGTAAGAAAGAATGTGTCTGACTGTGCAGAAGAGATGGTTAAAGCACTGAAGCCAATGCTTGTGGCAACAAACATCATGTGTGAGAAGAAGAGTCCCACCATTTCAATCATCGCCCCACTTCATGTTCAACTTCTTAGTGACACAACCAGCTCTATTGGGGATTCACCTCTGGTTCGAGAAATTAAAGGAGCCCTCCATCAAGATCCAAGTACATACAAGTCTGTGGAGGAAAAAGATCTTCTAAACATCTCATCAGCTCTAGATCCTAGATTTAAATCTTTGCTCTTTCTGTCACTTCAAGAAATGCAAGACACTTGTTCAAAACTACTGTCCAAGGCTGCTGCTTTGAGGGAGGATACACTAGTGACACAGGGACAAACACAGAGGGAGGGGGAAAGAGGAGTTGGGGAGGTCTCACTCTGAGGATGACAATAATGACTTAACTGCAAAGAGCCCAAAGAAAAGAAAGTCTGCACTTGTTGTCCTGCTGGGTCAGACCTTCAAGAAGACTACATCTAGTGTCTCAATACCAGCAATATCCATTGCAGAAAGGGAGATTAAACAATATCAAGATGCTCCTTCTTTGCCACTGACCGAGGATCCACTATTGTGGTGGAAGACACAAGAGCACGTGTACCCTCTTCTTGCGATGTAAGTGCTTCAAGAAGTGCACTTACATCTGAGCATGCCGACCAGCTGCTCTTTCTGAAGAAAAACATGCACATATAAAAAAGTCCAGGTTTCAGTTCACTGAGGTTTGAGGAAAACTGCTTTGTCTGCTGTAAGGTTACAGTTCATGTTTAGGCCTGTCTGTTTAAAAGAGAAATGTTATTTTTTCTATTCAAATGCTAAATATTTATTTTTGTTATGTTTCTATTTAATAGATTTGATCTACTTGAGATGTCGTGTTTTCTGAATGAGTTTAAAATAGTGTCACTGTTTGTCAGACACCTAAAAGAAATACTGTTTACAGTTATGTTGCACTAAAACAGTGTCCTTGTTTTTGCACTATTGCTGTTTCTACTCTGGTTAAATTATGCTGCAAAATATAAACTATAAAATTAAATTTTTTTGTTTGTATTTGTTTCACCCCTATAAACACATGGATATATCGTAGGTTATTAAGAGCAATATATTATATATCGAGATATTATCGTTATCGTGAGCCATGTATCGCATATCGTGAGGTACCCTGAGATTCCCAGCCCTATTCTCCCTTGGTCTGAGTGAAGGTCGACTTGGAACGCCAAACTTGTAAAACCACTCAGAGATTAAGACCTGGGCCACGGTAGAGGCCCGTTGATCCTGTGCAGGGACAGCAACAGTATATTTACTGAATACATCAGTCATGACAAGGACATTCTCACGCCCATTTCTGGAAGGCTCCAGAAGTGGGAAGTCTATGGCCAAGATCTCATTTGGCCTGGAAGCCAACAGGTGACCCATAAAGCTATGTGGCACATGTCCGGAGTCCTTAGCAACTTGAAAGCGCTCGCACTCCTGGATCCACTGCTTTATGTCTGAAGACATTCCTGGCCAATAGCATCGTTGCTGGACCAATTCAGTGGTCCGCTCAATGCCCTGGTGGCCATGTTCTTGTTGAAGCTGACTTAAAGTCTCTTGCTTGAGAACGGCAGGCAAGATGAGCTGTAACAGCTCTCCCCCTCCATCAGGACGGAAGACCTGCGGAAAGTGCTGCTGCTGGCCTGGAAAGCTGTCGCTGCTCACCTGATGTAGGCGGAGCCTTCCATCGCCAAAACACCAGAACCTCTTTCAGGAGGGAATCAGCCTCCTGCTAAGAACAAAGATCGGCAGCAAATTGGAAGGGAAGGAAAGAGACCACAGACTGTGTGGCGGACACCACAGGGTCCGGATGGGGGTTCTGCTGAAGGCAGACATTGCCAGTTCGCTACCGCTTCAATCTTCTTGGGGTCTGTTGAGACCCCGTGGCGGGAGATTACGTGCCCCAGGTAACCAACCTCCTGTTGGAAGAACGCAAACTTTTCGAGTTTTGCTTTAAGGCTTTCCTTTTGGAGCCGACCAAGCACCATTTCCAACCGCCGCAGGTGTTGTTCGAAAGTCAAAAAGATGATGATGTCATCAAGGTAGAGAAGCAAGGACTGTCCCTGCTGATCCCAAAACAACCTCTGCATTAGCCGCTGGAAGGTGCTTGGGGCATTACACAAGCCTAAAGGCATGCAGTTAAACCCGAAAAGGCCGAAGGGTTTGCATAAGGCCGTTTTAGTCTTGTCTTTCTCTGCAACAGGAACCTGGTTGTAACCACTGGCCAGATCGATCGTGGAAAACCAACGGGCTCCAGAAAGTGCATCGAGGCTCTCCTTGATGCGAGGCAAGGGGAAAGCATCCTTTCTGGTCTTACTGTTGAGCAGACAATAGTCCACACACAAGCGTAGACTTCCATCCTTTTTCTGGACCAAAACA